ACCCCTGTAAAAAAGGCACAGCAGCCCAATGCTGTGCGGAGGGGCTGGGGGAAGAAGTGCTAAACACTAGCTTGGCTTGTGACAAGAGCGTGTGGGGCTTAGGGCTGGCCTGGGGACCCCATTTCCAGCTCCATGCCGCCGCCCAGGCTCCAGCTTAAACCCTTCACCCCGAACCACCTGAAACAACTCACAGAGAGCCAATGGTCAGAGCTGGGCCAAGACTCCACTGTCCACCGCCAGTCACGTGGTCATAAGTGTCTCAAGGGGTGATGCTGCCCCTCCACTCCTCCATGCTGCTGCCTACGCAGTCAGACTCAGCTGGGTCTGGGATGGGTGATCCTGGGGTGAGCCACACAACCAGGGAAGCGACTGGCTGCTGAGCTCCCTTCTCCTGCATTCTCAGAGCCACAGGCCAGGGAACAGCCTCGTGCCCTCACTGACACACATGGGCGTGAAACAAATCAAGGCTCCCTGCTTACTCTCCAGGCAGGAGGGTTTCCCCATCTGCTTGGCAGAGGTGTGAAGGCCTGCCTTCCCCCCAGCCGGGCTATGCAGCTGAGGAAAGTGTGCATATGCAGTAGGCTGTGCAACACGCCTGGAAGCAACACTCCCAGGACAGAGCGATGAGGCCTGGCCAGTACCTCCCAGGCTGGTAGGCCCCGATGCTCAAAGAGATTTCATTGAGGCCCTAACTTCCACTGAAATCAATGCCAGAAGAAGCCAGACTCCCTTTGAGAATCTGGGCTGAGAGGCCTGCGCAGAGCCATCCCAGCGCCAGGCTCGGAGCGCTGTACAAAGCGGGGTGGGGTGGGGTGTGTGTGTCCTGAGCATGGATGGGGGCAGACACTTAGAACTGAACTGCCCCACTCCAGACACAGTTGCAGGGGCTCTCTCCATCCCAAGCTGATCCAACCCCTCCCCCACAGTCTGGATCCCAGCTCCACTGCTCAAGCCCCTCCACTCCACTTCGACTGACTCCTGTGCCTGTGGCGAGCACCACCCACCTTGTCTCCTGCCCGAGTTTACCCAAGGGTGGGCGTCGTGTATCCATAAACCTTACTGATCATCCTGGATATTCTGCTGCTGACAGGCCTTCTTGTCCCCTGCCGGGATGGGAATTAATCCTCATTACCAAAGGCCATAAACCCATCCAGTGCTTCTAGGGAGCAAAGGTGCCACGGAGGTGGGCCTCAACTCTAGTGTGTCCCTAGCAGGTGGTTTATCAACGCGCCCTCACCCAGCACCCCCGAGGCAGCCCTGCCACGCTACTGGCTCTCAGTTCTCTGGGCTCGTTAGCCAGGAGGAGAAAGTTCAGGCTGAAGCAGAACAGCCACAAACAAAGATATTGGGCTTCTGCACAGTTCTAGATGCCCAAGGGCGATGCACCAGGCACTGGGCCTCAACTCCATGCAGGCAGTTCCCGTCCTGTTCAAGCACATCACCCCCAGGTGCCCACAGAACAACGGGGTGGCGTGCAGCAGGGAGCCCTCTTGGCTCAGATGATGCAGGGGCATGTTAGCAGCATGTTAGCCTGGTCAGAGAGGCAGTGCACACTAGGAATGCTTTGTCCTGCCATCCACATGCTGCACACAGGAACAAACTGAGCCTCGCAGCCCCCTGGGAGAGGAGTCAAGATCATCATCCCAGTGTTAGAGAAGAGGAAGCTGAGGTATTGTGAGGATAAGGGACTGGACCAAGGCTGCTGGTAAGTGAGCAGCAATGGAACCCAGGAGTCCTGCTCCTAGGCATGTCCTGTAGTAACCACCAACCATCCTCCCATCTAAACAGCAGTGAGCATGAAGCAGAGTGAGTAGAAGCAATATTCAGTGTGAGGAGGGTGATGCCAGGAGCTGCTGGCACTGCCCAGACCCTGCTTCTTACATGGTGGGGCTACACTGAGCTCCGCCAGGACCAAGGGCCCAGGCAGTGTCTCATTTCCCTTCCCCAGCCAGAATGCCCACAGGTTTATGGGATGGCGGTTTCCCCCGGGAGAGAGAACTCACTCTTCTCCCTGCCGTTTTCCTCTTGATTGGTTTTGTGATGGAGGAGAGGCAGCTCCTGCCTCCCGCAGGCATGGTCATTAGGGCGTGGGCAGGAATGCCTCTCGCCTTGGCTCCCAGCCCAGCTCCTGCCTTTGCCACCTGAGTGCTAGCCCCACTTATGTAAGCCCCAGGAAGAGGGACTCCACTAGGGTGGCTCTGAACAAGCAGCCTGCCTCAGTCTCTGACTGGCTGCCAACCCCGTCAACTCCACCAGGCAGCAGCGAGATGTTGGTCCTGCACTGGCGCAGGCATGAGGAGCCACGTGCACACTGGTTTGAGATGGAAACATGCATGTGCACGTGCAGCTTTGCACATGGCTGCTTGCGTGTGTTGTGCAGGCATGTGTGTCCCAGTGCACCCGTATGTACATTGACATGTGCATATGAAGATACAAGCTTACACACGTGTTTGTGTAAGCCTGTAACCCTGCATGCCGGGTTGCGTGTGTGTGTACCTGTAAGTGTACATGCAGGAATGCACATGCATGCAGATGTAAGCAGGCGTGAGGGGGAGGTTGCTGCAGAGGCAGGGAGAGGTGCTACCCAGATGCGGGTGTGCGGGAGCACAGATGTGCATATTGCCCAACTCTGACTTACCCACAACAGGTTGCTGTGGGAGGGGAACATCCCCCAGACCTTATAATGAACACAAAGCCAGGCCCCCCTTAACACAGCTGCTAATCAGGGTGTGAGCAGGCCTGTCGGGTTCCAGGGGAAGCTGTAACACCCCCCACACGCCACCATGTCACACACTTGCACCACCAGTCCACCCCTAAACACCTCCTGGGGACACAGCAAAGCAGGTGGTTCAGCCCTGATTCCTTTTTCCTTCAGGTGAGATCCCCAGGAATGTTACAGAAGCCTGGCCTGATGGAGCCAGCCCAGCTCTGTCTCCAGCTGGGACCTCGGACAAATACCGGCCCTACCTGTGCCTCAGACTGTATAAAGGAAACCAACTCCGGCACAGGAGGGTTAAAGAGCTAATGCTCCGCGAGGGAAGTGCTGAGTCAGGGCAGATAGCTCTCCCCCCGCCCCTGGCAGAGAGAGATAGCAGGGAATGCTGCCCCCCACCTCCCCACGACAGATCACCTTCCCTAGGGCTTCAGACACAGCCTGCAAAACAGCCACAGCCCGCCCAGTGTCGCCCCCGGCCCCCAGCTATTTTCCTCTCTCACACCAGTCTCTGAGGATCATCTCGGCCAGAGGTGCCACCCAGTTCTCGGGTGAATGGGACCAGAGGAAACTCCTAGGGTTGTGACGTGACTGCGCTGGTGCGGCAGTGATGCAGTTGTGCAGGGCACCCATACGCATACAGGGAGGGGACTTGGGCAGCCCCATCTCTGCACAGCCAAGAAGCCCTGATCACAGACCAACAGGCCGGTGCCCCGGAGCGCACAGGCTTGCCGTAAAACACCTTTGCTCAGGGTTGACAAAGTTACTACAGCTGGATCCACGGCCGCCTGGGAATTCGCCTTTCAAACCCCAGAAACATCACTCTGGCCAAGGCGGTTTGATCAGGGAGCACAGAGAAAACAAGGAGGAGTCCTTGTAGCACCTTAAGACTAACACATTTATTTGGGCATAAGCTTTCCTGGGATATAACCCACTTCAGAAGAGAACAGAGAGAGCACAGAGACAGGCTGCAGGCGAGCTACCAGAGCAGGCCAGGGATAGCCTGGGCTCCTGGGTTCTCCCCCCAACTCTGCCACTCACTCCCGCGGTCGCCCCGTGTGCCTCAGTTCCCCCTCCCCCAGCAGGTGATGAGGCGCGGCGCAGGGGAGGTTTAGGAAAGGGCTAGCGGCGGCCTGCATGGAGCGGCGGGTCCGAGAGCCAAGCCCAGCTCGGAGGAGCAGGGTGGGCCTGGCAGCATGACTGGAGGCAGGCGCACCATGTCCTGGGAATCACACAGGTGGCCAGTGCGTAGGGGGGAGCCGGACAGTAACCTCAACCCGAGGCTGCATACACGCAATGCCCCAGCGCTCCCAGCAGCCAGGCTGCCGGGCATCCGCCCCAGGGACCGACTAACAACACGGAGTGAACAACTCACACCCCTGGGCCCAGATCCGCCACTCTCAGCCCCCACCCGGGCTCGCCAGGACAGCGGCCTCCCCACTGCTGGGCGGTTCCCCCCGCCCGAAGTGATTTCCACGGTGCTAAGCCCAGGCTGGGGGCGCTGGATCAGCTCCTGCCCCCGATCCGAGACAGCTCAGCGGACACCGGCCACGGAGAGGCACTTTCTGAAAGGTATGCAGGTGCCTAACGAGGCAGGCCGTGCCCTGGAGATGTACCAAAGCCCGCGGTCCCCAATCTCTGTGGGCCCAGGGCTTCCTTGGGCCCCACCCCGGGAGGAGCGGTGCGTCCTGGCCAGCCAAAGAAGGGACCCCGGCGCGCCCCGCCCGGCCTCACCTGTGGAAGAGGAGCAGGATGGAGAGCAGGGTCTGGTCGATGTTGCTGTTGCAGATGCCCTGGTTGAGCAGGTAGCAGGGGTCCCGCACCACGGGCTCCAGCGAGTCCTGCCGCATGATGCTGCTCAGCTTGTCGGCGTTCAGGTTCTCGCACACTAGCTGCGCCCGCAGCTGCCGGAAGTTGCTCACCGTGGGGCTGCCCAGGTTGTTGTTCTCGCCCCCGGCCCCCTCCTCCAGGCCGCTGCGGTTGGCCAGGTCCAGGCAGCAGCTGCAGCAGTCCAGCCCCACGGGCGAGCGGCACTCCTCTGAGGCCATCGCGGGCACCCAGCCGGCCGCGGCCGTCCACCCACCGCCCGGAGCGGCTCCCTGGGCGCCCGAGCCCGCTGCGCTTCCCCAGTGGCCCTGCGCCGCCCCGCTGCTGCCCCGAGCGCCACGGGAGGAAAATAGCCACAGCGGCTGATCAGCGCCCGGCTCCAGTCAGCCCAGTGCACACGCCCAGCCCCGCCGCGGGAGCGGCTCCCCCGCCCGGGCAGCTGATTGGCGAAGGCGCCTCCACCCGGAGAGCCCTCCCCCCGCACACCCCGCCGGGAGTCCCGCTGGCCGGGCGCCCGGGAGCAGGGAAGGACAGCTCCGCCGGGGCACAGGGCAACCCCTGCGCCGAGCCCCCACGGCCTGCCCTGCCGGCGGAGCGGGGCAGCGCCCCCACGAGGGGTGGGCAGCAGGCAGGGCGGTTCCGGGCTTCCTCGGCACACAGCGCATCTATGGGGCTGAGCTCTGCCGTCTGCCCGCCTCCCCTTGGCCGGGGCAGCCCCTCCCTCCAGGCAAACACCCCCCCGCCCCTTGCCCGCCAGCCTCTGCCGCCCCAAGCTGCGTGCTAGACATTCCGGGTGCTGCCGGAAGACACGGTCCCTCCTGCTCTGCATGGAGCCAGGTTGGCATGGCAGCAGGGAGGGGGTTCTGGGACACCCCCCCCCCCCCGTGCCTGGCACCGACAGGCTCCCAGCGGCGGCGAATGCCACCCTGGTCCCTGTGCAGGGAAGTGACTGTAACAGCGCGGAGCGGGGTGTCTCGCCTTCCCGGTACAGAGGGGGAATTCACACTTCACATACAAACAGGCACACCCTCCCTGCCCCCAGCCACTTCCCCGCCCCTCCCTGCCCGCTTGTAATCACCAGAGGAAAGAGAACTTGGCTACAAGTGTGAAATCACCGCCACACAGCGACCGAGAATGGAGAACTGCGGGGCTCAGAGGGCAGCTACTTCTGTTATACCACAAGGATGCCCAAGAGAGGTCCTGGAACCCCCTAGGCAGACAGGCAATCCTTGGGGACCGTGTTAAGAAGAATAGACAGAGAATTCAGCAAGAGACACAAGGACAGCAGAAGGGTGTGATGTTCCCTGGAGTAAAGACACAAGAGTCACTGTAAGATTGGGTGCGTTTCTGCAAGTGACTGGCAAGTCTCCACCAGGGTGATGCACATTGGAACCAGTAAGAGGGCATCACAGGGAACTCCACAGATACCAGAGTCTTCAGGGATCTCAAAGGGGAGCTGAAGAAGAGGAAAGTCCAAGTGATCTCGGTCATTCTTCCGGTCCCAGGAGCAGAAGGCAGAACATGCTGGAGGTGAACCACTGGCCAAGAGGCTGGTGTGAAGGTGAAAGTTCTAGTTTGGTGGAACACGGGGGCATATTCCAGTGGGACAGGATTGAACGAACAGGACTGCCCGCATCTCAGAATGCGGGGTTGGTAATCTGGCTGGAGACTAGCTGGAGAAAGGAGGAGGGGGTTAAACTAATGATGTAATAGAAGGAGGCTAAGGGGGCAAATGTGGAACAAATGGAACCAAACTCAGGGTGTTGTGAATATACTGAACCAAGGTGGCAAAGGTGAAGAATAGACATCTTTTAATTGCTTATATACAGTGATAAGAGTCTAGGTAACAGGAAAGAATAATTGGAAATTATCGTTGCTGAGGGAATATAGCTATAATTGGCATTATTGAAAAGCCAGGATTGGAATGACCACTGAATCTAACTAAAGGACAGGATGTGTTGTTCCTTAAGCACCAATCTGTAATGTGTGGGCCTGAAATTTTGTGATCATGGACGACTCCAGTCTGAGAGACATGCTGGAGGTTTCTTGGCTGGTAGTAAAACATAATTGGAGTTTCTAAAAATTAGAGATGATTTTCTAACACCAAACTCATTGCACCCAGCATGGAGTAACTCAATAGGATCTCACCATGAGGGATAAGCATGAACTGATCACTGAACTGAAAGTTACTGGTGGTTACTTAGGGACCATTGATCATGATGTGATTAGATTTCTTATGTGAAAATAGAAGACAGTCCTAACCACTATAAGCACTTGGTGCTTATTAAGGGCTAATTTCCCAATGCTGAGGAAAATTTGGAGCAAAATTGATTGAGGGGAAATATTTAGACAGAAAAATATGAATGAAAATGGGAGGGCAAATTGTTTAAGAGGAGCTTATTAGATGGCCAAAAAGCCATAATTTCATAATCATGAAAGAAGATGACCTTTTGTTTCAAAGCCCATCCTGGTTAAGGGGGGAAGTGAAGGCAGCAATTAGGAATATAAAACTACATACAACAAATAGAAAAAAAAAGTAGACGGCAATCAATATAAGCTGAAAGTTATGCAGTATAGAAAATTGATAAGGGAAGCTACAGATATCAGGGAAAAATCCATGGCTGTCAGGGTTAAGGACAATAAGAGGGATTTTTAAAAGAATATCACGAACAAAAGAAATCCTAGAAATGGTATAGGCCAATTATTAGATCATTATGGTAAAATTGTTAATAAACAAATTCTTTGTATTACCATAGTGGCTAGGAGTCCTGGTTGTGGGACAGGATGCCATTGTGCTAGGACCTGTACAAATGATAAAGAAAAGGCAGAAGTGTTCAATAAATATTTCTGTTCTGCATTTGGAAAGAGGGAGGACAATGTACTGATATCACATGAGGATGATGATATACTTTCCAGTCCATTAGTAACTAAGGAGGATGTTAAACAATATCTGCTAGGGATAAGCAGTCCTCACAGGGTTGCCAGAGGGGACCTCTGGTCTCTGATGTTAATTTTTAATAAAACTTAGAATATGGGGGAAATTCTGACTTGGGAAAGTGCTTACGTTGTGTCAATATTTAAAAAGGAGCATGCAGGAGGACCCAGATAACTATAGGACACTTAGCCTGTAGCCTGACATCAGCCCCAGGCAAAATAATGGCAGAGCTGATATGGGATCCAATCAATAAAGAATTGAAGGATGGGACTATAATTAATGCCACTTAGCATGGTTTCATGGAGAATACATCTTGTCAGACAAACCTGATTTCATTCTGTGATGAGATAACAAGTCTGGATGATAGAGGTAACCCAGTAGATGTAATGAACTTAGACTTTTGCAAGGTATTTGACTTAGTACTTCATGACATTTTGATGAAAAAACTAGCAATAAAACACATGTAAAATTGATTAAGAGCTGGCTAATGGACAGATCTCAAAAAGTAGCTATCAATAAGGAATCATCATCAAATGAGGGTGCTTCTATGGGGTTGCAGGGAGAGGTATAGGCCCAAGACTATTCTGGAAGTAAATGTACAATCTCTGCTAATAACATTTGTGACTGACCCAGAGATTGGCGGAGCAGGGAACAATGATGAGGACACGGCAGTTGCACAGAGCGTTCTGGATAACTAGGGCCTATTCAAACATAATATCTCTTAATACAGCCTAATGCAAGGTCAAATCTCCAGGACCAAAGAATGGAAACCATTCCTACAGGATGAGTGGTTGTGTGCTGGAAAGCAGGATTTAGGAGTCATACAGGACAAGAAACTGAACACAAGTTCCCAGTGTGATGCTGTGGCACAGAGTCCTAAAGTGATCTTGGGATATACAAATAGGGGAGTAGGAGCAGGGAGGTGATTTTACCTCTGTATGTGGCACTGGTGCAACTGAAACTGGAATGCTGTGTCCAGTTTTGGTATGCGGAGAAGAGCCACAAAAATGATTCAAGGGGTTGGAGAAAATGCTGGATAGTGAGAGACTTAAAGGCTCAATCTATTAGCATTCTAAAAAGATCAAGATCACTTGACTATGGTGTATAAAGAACTTTGTCAGGAGAATACACTGGATGCTAAAGGGGTCTTTAAGCGAGTGGGAAAAGGTAGAACAAGAACCAATGGCTAAAATTCAAAGCCGGACAAATTCAAATTAGAAACAAGACACTACTTTTTAACAGTGAAGGTAATTAACGTTGCAACAAACTCCTCAGGGAAGTGGTGCTTTTTCCAGCTCCTGCTGTCTTCAGAGCCAGCCTGGAGGCTTTTCTGCAGGATCTCCTTTAGCCAAACACAAGTTATGGGGAGCCTCACAGGAACAATTGGGTTCAATTCTCTGGCCTGTGTGATGCTGGAGGTCAAACTAGATGATCTAATGGTCCTTTTGGCCTTGAAATCCATTAATCTACACCCAGAGCCAGCCATGTACCCTATACAGCTATTCATATGCATTGCCATACATTTACCATATATACCCACTTAAATACATGGCCATACATGCACCCTACATACCCATTCACACACACGGCCCCCTCATATACTCACAGCAATATCCAACCTCATCCACATTAAGTAGCATAGAAATATTCAGTCTTTCAACCCCCCACCCCCCCAATATATACACAGTACAAAGACCCATTCACATGCACAGCCACACATTTGTCTAGGGGCGCGTACAGACTCATTCTTGCATGCAGTGCCTCCCCCACCTCCTGTGGTGACTCCCAGTACAGCAAGTACACTCTGCTTGTGGTGTCTGCCTGCCATGTTCCTCAGATGCACTGTTTGGGGGACACAGAGAGAGAAAAGCACTAGTAAATGAAAGTTTAACCCTGCCTGATCGTCTTCCCTGCTCTGCAGGCTGGGGTGTGTGGGGGAACAGGTGTTCTCAAACCTGGCCGGAATGGGTAGGAGAACCCTGGCATGCATGGCCTTAGCTGTCTACACCCACACACACAAAGTAATCAATCTATATATGTTTAGTGGGAATAGAGCTCAGCTGAGAAGGAACAGGCAGGGCAAACACTGTCAGGGATGGTCTAGATAATACTTAGTCCTGCCATGAGCGTAGGGGACTGGACTAGATGACTTCTCGAGGTTGCTGCCAGCTCTATGATTCTATATATTCCCATACACACACAGGGTCAGGCACCTGTGGAACACACACACACACACACCCACATCCCTGGGTCTGTCTTGTCTATTTAGATTCAGATCCCAGTGTCCCATTCCCCCTGCTGGGCTGTTCAGGTGCTATGGAGCTCAGGGAATAGCAATGGGAGGCTGGAATCTCAGGCTGGACTAAACATGAATTTGCATCTGCAAAAAATAAAGCCCACTGCCCCACAAATTCCCATCTGTGCTTCGGCTCCATGAGAGGCAACGTCATGTCATCACTCACACTCAGGATGTGACAGCTTGGTCCCACTAGATAAAGTGAAGCTGGTGGCTGTCTCTGCATAGGTCCTGATGCTGGAGGAACTCAGGGTCACCTCCCCTGCTCTCTCCCACCTGGGCCTATTCTGCATGTGGAGCGTGGCGCTGGGGTGTGCTGAGAACACATTGTCCAGTCTGCTGCTGGCAAACTGGGCCTTCCAAGCAGAACAAGCAGCCGAGTGGTTTTATCTTAATTCCCATTGGAAAGCAGTTCCTGTAAACAGGGGAAATGGCCTGTGAGAGTCATGCAGGGGTACAGGGGAGAGAGGTGCTGATTTACTGCCCCTGGCTAGGGCTGTGCGCTGCTCAGGTCACTTGCTCTGGGATGTCCTATGTATATAGCCTGGCATGATTCCCTCTGGCTACAGGGAGCACTTTGTTCTTACCAGTGTCGGACAGAGGCAAATTCCCTGCAGAAGTTCTGGGAGGCTGCTGCCACCTTGGGGAGAGAGTTGATATGACATTGTCCTGGATCTGAGGGTAGGACAGGTTCGGGTGGCAATGGGGAGGGTTTGTAACTGTGCGGCTGCTCTCAGGTGGACGGGGCTTACTGAGAGTGGCCAGTGTGTTCCCCTTTCTTTTCTGTCTCTATTGTTCTCCACTCCCCTTAAGAAATGCCTCAAACCCCATCACCTCCCCAGTGCAACCCCACATCCATGGCTCCCTTGGCAGCTCCCCAGGACTGCCCCTCACCTTGAGTTACGTGGGAGACTCCTGATTTTGATGGGATGATCCTGGAGCCTCCAGGGCATGGCAAGCGGCACAGAATATCTGCAGGGTGGGAGCGACGCGGTCAAGTCCCCCACTGGGACTGGGCATAGCAGGAACGTTCAGCATACCTGGAACATGGGGCTATCGCCTCCAGGCACAGCATGTTCTGCCTTCTGCTGCCATGACACCATGTTGCCACATCATTGTGATGATGGTGCAGACTTGGGACATTATGCTGGCCTGGAGGGGAAGCTGGGCTCTCCCAACGCTGTGTCTGGCAGGCCAACAGGAGTCCCTTGCTGGAGCCGTGGAGTTAGCGTCACAAATAGGCCAGTAAGAACCTAGTTTGGATGCTTCAGCAAAATGTGAGGACACTTACATATAATGACCTGAGGCTCCAGCAATAGCAGGGATGAGC